AAAACAAACATTTTTTCATTATTAAGCTGTTTTTATATGATTACTGAATTGGTCTAGCATTACAAATGCTCAATGAAATAAAAAAAAAAGAAAATACCAATTGCTTTTAGCAAGTATACTTGTCTTCGTTGGAGGAAAAGGGAGAATGATGAAGGTGGGCTGCACAACCATGGTTTCCACTGTTGAACATCCTTCGATCATCTCCTTCCATACCCCTTCCACTTTCCCAATTTCTTCTCTGGCAACCTCAGTCCTCCATCTTTCATCCCACCATAGCCACATTTCCATCTTCATGCATGGATTTTTTCCAGTACTTTGTGTGACAAACCAGACTCTGTATGTAAGTAGCCTTCTTTTTTTCATGCTCAGTCCACTTTTCTTCTTTGATGGTTTACCAATGTAAATGGTTCACTTTCTGTTGTTTGTCTTTGTGCCATGGTCTCTCACCTTCCAAACCAAGTGTTCCCCACTTCTCTGATTTTTTTACTTGGTTTTTCAACAATGGTTCATCTGTTTCTCCACTGCAGGCTATAGGGCAGCCTTGTCCAGTACCTTTAATTTTTCCTGCTTGTGTCACGTTTTTCTTTTTCTGTCCTTTCTCTCCTGTTTTGCTCCTTTCACCTGATTTACATCCTGCCCTCTTCCCCCACCAGATTGGAATCTCAATGTTGCCCTCCATGCTCTTACTCTTCCTCCCTTTGGCCTCTTGCTTTTTGTACTTCCTCCCTCAAGATGTATTTCTTACTCCCCTTTGCATGTGGACATGATGGATCTGATATCTTTGCTAGAAACAGCCTATTTGCCTCGCTTATGCATCATTATTCAATTATTCTCGTTATATTTTCCATGTTTCCTCCAACCAGATCTTTGATCTTACCCTTTCCCTACTGCTCATTTTTGTCATCCATTGGAAGAGATTGTGCTGACTGGCATGTGGACTATGCCTCACACATTTATTGCCCACTACCTGCACCATTTCACCATCTCCTCTGTTGCCAACTTCCAAGTACATTCCTACTTTTTTTATTTATTCTATTCACAGTGGCACTTTCTCTTTTCCTGGATCCTGCTCTGTGGCAAATGGTGCCTGTCCAGGTATACTTAAATGTAAATCTACACCATACAGCTGTTCAGGTCTATAACAGTCACTGATGGGTGTTCCATAAGACTGTTGGAGGTTCAATTATGGTATCTTGCTTCATAAATGAGGCCTGCACCAGACTATACCACCTCATAGACTATTCATGAGTATAGCAGTGTCAGGATTGCTGCCCATCCCTCTGGTCCTAGTTGAATAAACCAGGATTGGCCTGTTTTTAAAACTAGGGCTTTTGTGCACTTTCTTATGGTGCTTCATTCCTCTGGAGTTCTTGCCATTTATCAGTTCCTAACTGCTGGGGTTGTAGACCATGGAGGCTTCCTCCTGAGTATGGTCAATTTCAATCAGTTGAGAGTAGGTCAGTGATGTTTTGTTTATGTAGATAGTGAGTACTCTCCTTCTACTATAATTTGGAAGACAATTACCTGATGTTGCCTGGTTTTGGATGGACAAATCCAGCACATCCAGTTCACCCCTCTGGTTGACTTTCTCATCCTGCTGTGGCTTGGATGTCATTCCTGAGTGGTCTGGTGTTTAACTGGTATAGTACAAGCCAACATAAGTACTCACACTTGTGGTTGGTAGGGGCCCTCCTCCTACTGTGGAATGAAAAAAAAATTCCAGATGCCACCTGGTTTTGGACTGGAGTTGACCCACTATATTTGCATTACCCCTTCCTATCATTACTGATATGGCAGGTTCCCAGTTGGCCTGGTGCTGATTGTGCCCTGGCTGGGTTGTTGGATCAAAAGTTGTTTTTCCCATCTGCTTCCTGGTTTTAAGGTGAAGATGGTTCAGACCCTCCTCCAGAAAATAAATACCTGATATCACCTGGTTTTGGACTGGATTTGCCCCACTGAATATGGTCTGAAGCACCCTAGCCACTCTACACTATGTGGCAAGTCCAATTACAGGTTGGATGTGCACCCAATTTAGCCACACACATATCTTGACAACAGGTGAAGAGTATACCTGATACAGGTGGGGTGCAGTCTCGCAGAAATGTGACTATATACATTAGGGTGTCACCCTGCATGGATTCTCTTCAGACACTTTCTGAAAAGTGCTTATATAGGTAACTTTTGCACTGATCTCTTCACTGTTTCAATGTGGGATTCAAGCTATTATATAAGGTATTGTATCAGGAGTTAACACTCTTTTACACTTGAAAATGTATTTCTAATGGATACTTACCTCTCCTCACACTTCCTGTCCATCCTCCTCACTTCTGGTGCCTAATCTTGAAGTGATGAGAGTGCTTTATAGTATTGAGGGAGTCCGATGCACTAGGAGGATGTGTCAAACTCCTATTGGTGGAAGATTGTTGCATGCTCATTTGCATTACAGCTACACCATGTGAAATCGTGAGGTTAAGTGGGAGTATCAAGGCTAATGGTGAGGAGCAAATATTTTGCAAATAGAGGGCAGCAAAAGTCAAGAAAAGCTATTATGTGAAAGGAGGTAAGTATCTGCCAGAAATATATTTTCAGTGTAAGAAAATGTTCATTTTTAGAGCGATTTATCAACCTATTTAATTCCAGATGCTTTTTACTATCATTAGAAATGTTCAAAGTATTATTACCATTATCAATGCATGTGTGACATCTACTGACAATTAACATGAACAGTTCTGGAACTAAATTCTGAAATGCTGATCTGATCTGTTGGTGAAGAACATCAGAATTGTGTGGCCTTGTTTTGTGCACTTAATCATGCAAGTATCCCCACATGAAATAAAACAGAATTATTACCTTTATTGAAGGGTTTACTGTGGTCCACTATCATCAAGCTATAATCTCGTGATATATACTGTACAGCATAGTTGTGCCATATTTTATGCATATAACAGCAAACAATATTCACTTTGACTGTGTTCTCCTTAACTGCAAGGTGATTACTAATGTAAGCTCACTTTTTGTAACATCTTCTCAAATTTACATGATTTACAAGAATCATTTTCTGACAATCCATGACTTTCCACATCACCATTACACAATAAGTGGACAGCACATGAGCACTTTGTGCAAACCAAAATCTCATTCTTTTTCTTGGCACTACAGTGTTCAGTCATGTTCTTTCTTCATTAAGAATTAGAGAATTTTTAACTTTCATTTCACATTTGATTTGTTCTTTTTGTAATTTCAGTTTCTTGATTGTAATGAAAGAAATTAAAGTTTCTTTGGAATGTCTGGATTATAAATTCATGTATCCACATTTCTGAAACCTCCCAATTTCCAGACACTCATTGAGCCATCTATTGCTTGAATGGCAATTGGAAGCATTATGCTTCAAGTAGTTGCCTTCATTCTAATCTCCTTCTAAGGCTCAGAAATCATGGCCTCCTGTTTCTGTAGCTTCTGCTAGCTAGCCATGTCCTTGTATATTTTGACCAATTGTGTTTGTTCTGGTAGTTGTTCTGATTTTAAATTAGTTATTTCAGAAGAAATAATTAATAATCGAAGATTAATCAATCCTCCACCACCCGCATGTGGATTACAGGTATGGGCTTGAATTGAAGTATAAACAAAGTATGATAGGTTAACAGGATGGAAATTTATATATGAATGTTAAAAACAACATAACATAAATGGCCGATCTCAGACAGATGGTCCATTAGAGAGTTGAGGATCTGTAAATCCTATGCCAAGAATTTGATGTGGGGGAAATGGGAGTACTCTGAGAAAACCCAATTTCATTGATAAAGAGCCAATCTATTACCAGTGTCTGGTTAGTGATAAGAAATAAGTTGGAGAGGCAAAGTGAAGGCTGATGCTGGGGGTTAATTAAAGTTTTAGTGGAGTTTCCGATTCTTTGGATGTTTGTCAGGAAATTATAATAGTTCAGGTTCAAGTTGTGATGGAGTGAAGTCCTTGGTGTCATTGGTAGATGGGTGGAAAGCATGGAAAGGTTGTCAGGTAAGTCGTGGTTGGTGGAGGTGTCAATTACAAGAGCATTGGGTGAGTTTGATGAGGAGGAGGCAGAATGTGGATCTGGGGTTGGGGGGGGAGGTTTTAAGTTGGTACAGGTTGCTCGTTTGTTGAGATGCTTCAATGGTTACTGGTAGAACTGGCAGCTGGGTCTCGATACCTTTTTTTCTTTTTGTAATAGTTGTTTGGATTGTCTTGTCTTTTACTTCTGTCTCA